TTGTTATGTTTATGGGTACATGATGTCTGAACACTGGCTTTTCTTTAAACAATACTATCCTGTGAAGGAGACAACCAAGGTATGAGATCCACTCCATGTGAAGCATGGAGGTATGGAAATTGCTGGATACTGTAAAGTTTATAAATTGGAATATTTACATTTGTGTTTCTGGGTGTTTCCAGACTTTGGAGAAGGAGCGGGAAGCTTTGCAGACCTCTATGTCTCTCCTTCAGACCCGTCTGTCATCTCTCACACACATATTGTCGCTACAAGAAAATGATCTTTGCAAAAAGCTGGTAAGTCATGTTCTGTTTTATCCACATGGATTTTGTTTTGACAATATAAACAAGTAAATGCAATCGTCTTTCAAGGATTTCATGTGATTGTAATAAACTTTATGGAGCCTGCTGTTGTCAACCACTTCTTTTGAAAATAACTGCTGTCATGCTAACACTTTGACGTCAATATTAGTCAGTACACACTGCATGTTTCATATAATACAATCCTAGCCAAGAGTAAGTAGGTGGATAAGGATGTATAACTTTTACTGATCTGCATACATATTTTTGTTTTTTAGAGTAGCATGTGATGCATACCATTATCCGGTTCCATCTTGACTTGTGTTATTTGGTTGTCAGATCAGTTGATTCTGTCAATTTTCTTCTGTTAGGGAACCCACATTGATGGACAGAAGACACAGATGCTGCTGAAGCGATGGCGGGAGAAAGTGTTTAGTTTGATGGTGCAGCTAAAATCAGAAGAAATCAACAAGGAGAGGGATGAACAGAAGATGCAGCAGAGGGTATGGTCTGGGTGTAAGGTGTGGTGAGAGAGAAAAAGATAAATTAAGGGAAAGTTGTGGGCTGTTCAAACACCTTAAACTGTCAAAGGAGGTAAACAGCAGGGATTTATGGGCAGCCTTAAGCATTATCCATTTATATGTGACCTGACAGAGCTAAAACCTCTGTGGCTCTGTTATGCACATTGCAACCAGAGTTTGTTCAGCTGATTCCTGGCCTACATCTGTGGCTCACAGTCAGTCAACACAGCCACCAATAGCGAATACACGCAGGGCCCCAGGTCTAGGAATAGAAGATAAACTGATGTTTCTGTTTTTAGGATCATGTATGCTAGCTTCATTCACTGAAGAGTAATCTGCGATAGATCACTGTACAGTTGGCATTTGATAGGCAGTGAGGAGGCGTCACCTCCTCACCGCCTGAGTCAACCCCTAAAAACCCTCACTACCATGTTGCATCCTCATGAACTGCACACAGTTGCTGCGTGGCCACATTTTAATTGAATGGATCACATCCAGAGGGCAGTACTGCCTGATGAACATGATGGGTGACAGTCTTTGCTGTGATGCAACACATCACTCCCCCAGTGCCATGCGTACTACCCCATCCGCTGCCTTTGTAGCTAAAAGTGGAGCAGATTGAGGGCAGTAAAAACACAACTCCAGCAAGTGTGAACAAGGACTTCGTTAGTCACTACTAGAGAGTTACGACAATCCCTTATGTTTTGGGAACTCTAAAATCAGTCAGTACCATGGTAGGGAGGTGTTGCTTAAGGAGCATCCAGACCTAGCTCACCAGGTTCTTCCTATAACTAAAATATCTCTTTTGGGTGGACTGACCCTTGCAGATTTTTGATCATCCCATAGATAAAATTACGAAATCTTGCAATTCTTACTGGGCACACAGCCTACCTAGCCAGTCACTGTTTATACTTAATTCAGGTTTATCTGTTGTACATTAGGTGATCTCCCTGCTTAAAGTTGCCTTCCTCACTATAATCAGGCATTTTGGTAACATTGGGTGTTGAGCATTTTCTCGTGTGTTTGTTTTTTAAACGGTTTTCAACTTTGCCCATAATTTTTTGGCTCTTTACTGTCCTGATGCAAGGGGGATGGTTGCATAGAATTCAATGACAAGACGCTGCACCCCTCCCTAGAAACACTTATGAGAGCTTGCTGAATCTCACTGCAGTGTATATAGTGTTCTCTGGATTGCATTACCACCTTACTAGTTTACATCATATTTTGCTTCCAATTATTCTTTAAACTGTAGCTTGTAAGAGACGTAAGAATATTCTTAAAATAGAGAATTTCCATAAACTGAAAATAGGATCATATGGGATGGATCTTTGTACGTTTTTTTTTTCTTTTTCTGCATGTATTTATTTTTTTCCCAACTTAGATCTGTTCTCTTGAAAATTCTTTGCAAGAGAATAGTCAGCAATTGGTCCTTCACTCACATGCACTGCAAGACCGGACAGCCGAGTTAGAAATGGAGAGGATTCACAGTAAGGTGAGGAGGAATTAGAAACATGAGAGATTAATGCTGAAACTGATAATGTGTAGTTAACAACCAAAGAGACCCTATTGAAGAGATCTGCCAACCACAGGGGTGGAGACTGGAATGCATTTATCATATAAAAACTAATATAAGAATGTATGTTGCCTACATCAGTCAAACATATGCAGTGATATTCACACCTTTGCTAGAAGTATCAAGGGAACGTGGTTGCTGTGGCAACACTACTTTTTTACATATGACGTTCTTCCATATAAAGTGCCTTTTTTATTGAGGATAGTATGCAGTGTTATGTGGCAGTGCATGAATTAAACAAATTCAACTTCTTCTGTAGTCTCTGCAAGACGAGCTCTTTGCCACACAAATTGCATCTACCCGTCTTACCAGTCGAGCTGAGAAAGCAGAACAGACATCGCTCAAGCTGAAAGACATGATAGATGGGTATGAATGTTCTATTGTCCACATTTACAAGATTAACTCTCGGGTGGTTACAGCTGTTGTCATTGTCCAGTATATAGTAAAAAAAAAAAAAATTTGTAGTGCTAAAACCTGCATTCCAGTTTTCACTTTTCTTACTGTACTTATTGAATTGCATACAAAATATCTCTACCCAAAACTGAACTTATTTGACGCATTTCTCCACTCCTGGTTCACTCACAAGGATAGAGGAAGTCATGGAGAGGAGGAATTTAAACATCCACTAATCAAAATAGCCACGGCTCATGAGCACTCATCACAGGTGCAGCATTAACTAGCTCATTATTGTGCATGTCTGGGATGGCCCTTTCTAGAGAGCCAGTCATCTTTCTCTGCTAATCAACTTCCATTAAAAATTGGCCATGGTTTGTGCCTGCTTGACTGTGTTGGGGAAATTATACTGTAAGCTCTGTGAGGTAATGTCTAACATGAATGGTTCTTTGTATTCTGTGGAACATATCAGTGCTGTATACATAGTGAAATAAACTCCCGAATGACTATCCCCATTCACATTACCATGATATTTAAAGCCCATTTTAAGTTTCTGGATTTTTTTGTAGATGCTATCCCCCAAAGAGAAACTTTTGTAGACTCCAACACTGCTATCCGATTTTTTTATTTATTTATTTTTCTATGATCCAACCCTGATCCTCTTTCACACTTGAAAGCCCATGGCCTCATTAGACAGATGGTCATCTTGGTATTCCCCATGACCCTGGGCTCACAGGAAAATGCTGCAGATCCCTACATAAGCACAGTTCTCAGCAGCATAGAGGGCCACCCATCAACACCTCAAGCAGATAAGGAAGAGAATCCTGGGAGGGTACGTGACTAGGCAGAAAGTAAAAAAAAAATAAAAAATGACAAGGGTGGTACTGGAGTCAAGCTTTAAATACACCCACATATTTAATTGTATTAATTGTGGCTGGTTTTAGTTTTGTACAGGTACTGGAATCTCAGGAAAAGACATTTAGGGGAGCTGTGCAGCGGCTGATTACCCTGGGCCAGAGGGTCTCCTTTGCTACCAAGAGAATTGATACTATACAAGGTAAGAAACAATATTGAAACATTAGATTAATTTTTCTCATTTACATGATGCCAAGGTATTCTGCAGCATTTTTTAAGCGCGCATAAAATGCCAATCATATCTGTCCCAGCCACCAAAGTTTCTTTACAGTCTAATGTCCCTGGCTCAGTTACACACAGTAGATACAATTTGGATAAAAACTAAAGAAGCACATATGGCATACACGTATACAGTGAACCTGGTTGCACTAAACAAGGAATGCCATTGCTAACTACTTAGCCTTTGTCTGAATATTCCCATCTGAAAGTAGCATAGTTTAGTTTGAACTTGTATCTATCACTGATCTAAACCATCTTTAATATAAAGATGAGATAATCGGGCTATTTTCAATGTCTTGTAAGATACTAAGTACATCAGGGAGTTGGATGCATTGATTACAGCACAGGGAGACTTCTGGCTTGTTGGAAAACTCTCCCTGTGAGTGAGTAGTCCAGATCCTTCACTGTATGGAGCAAAGATTGTAGTTATCCCTGGGCATCATATCACTAATTCAAGGAGAGGTAGATTTCTACATGTTCTTTGTTCTCAGGGTGATGCCGTCCTATACCATTGTGAAAGAATGATGGTAGTAATTTGCTGTCACTATAAAGGCTAGCTGGTGGAATTTAGTTACAAGTGACAGAAAGAAGGCAACAGTGTTTAATTACATTTTTTTACTGTTTTTCTTAACAGTGTTTAATTACATTCTCCTCTTTGGGTTTTACAACGGAAAGGCGGGGTACAATAGACGAGACCGTATTGTTAGTAACACAACACAAAATATTCCCTTGTGGCTAAAGTTCAAAATTTAAAGTGGAACTGGACTGCATCTGAGCACCACAGACCAAAAATGCTGGGAAGACCTCCCCTCCTGTAGACTGCTGGGAAATATAACATAATTTGCCTAGACATGTAAATCGGCAAATAACTGGTACGGGGGGGAGGGTCTCTTCATTGAGAGCACAAGAAGAATTAAAGCCCAACAGAGGTTTGTACCTTCCCAGCTCTTTTTGAAATAAAAAATGGATGGATTTACACTTTAAAAACATGTAAATATAAAAACGTAAAATGTATCATTGTATTTAAAATCACTGCTTTTGGGCTAAGCATGATTTCATTATACGTTACTTCTGCCAGGTATGGTGGCACAAAGACTGGCCCTGGTAAAATTGGCACAGGAGGACAGACCTAAAAATTCAGCCACAGAGGATGACATGTAAGTCAAAGGAAACTGTATTGTAACTTATTTACCTCCTGTTTTTCTATGGCACCAGCATTGCACATTTTACAGAATACATTGTAAGCATTGACACCAACTCCTGTAGTTGTAGATCTTGTACTCCCAGTGTCACAGTCTTAAATATACTTACACACTTGGAGCCTGCTTTGTACACTGTGGTTGGCATAGGGAAAATGGAAATACCTGGAGAAGACGCACAAAAACTCCTTACAATATGTAGTACATATTTATCTTGTATAAAATCATAGTAAGAGGAGGATAGTACTGCTTCCTGTCAGTGTTTGTGGGTAGATTCTTGCACACACCGACCTTACACCCTTGGGGAACAACCAATTGCTAGGCCCCAGCACTGTCATGTGATAGTGGGAGTGATGTCTTCTCTCCATTCTTAGTATTTGGCACCAGCCAACACTGTGGCATCTAATGCTGGCTGTGATGAAAGACGAAGCAGGGGAGGAGCACCTGCAAGGTAAGTATCAGTGGGTTAGGGGATTGTACGGTGACCTTTACACAGAAACTGTAACTTTGCCCTGAATGGGCAATGTCTTTTTTAAGAGTCGTAATTGTGTTACAGAAAAGCTTGCGTCCACTTGCAAAACTGTCTCCGTCATAAATGGGCAAGTTGTTTTGCCAAAAACAGTGATCTGTTGCATGTATAGTAGATTATATGGTTGTTGTTTTTTTTTTGTTTATTAATAAAGCTGTAGCATTGTCTCTTTTTCATATGGCTTATATTAGACAGTTCTTCTTGTAGATGTCCATCATACGAGGACCTGAAGAATGAGATACAGCTCCTAAATGAAGAGAGAGACCGTCTGAGTACCGAGCTGAAGCGCAGTGCTCTGATCCTGGAAGGAAAAGTGATAGAGACCAGACAAAATTGTAAGACACTGATAATCTGATTCCTAGGGTGTGCAATTCGAAATGTCTGTGTATTTTTTTGTTTTTTATCCTAATCTTTATTCAATGTGTAATTTCTACAGTGGAAGCAGAGATAGCAGAGTGTCATGACAATGTCTCCCTTCTCCGACAATCTCTGCACGAGACAGAAGGGAAAGAGAAAGCCCTGACAATGCAAGTGATGGAGCAAGAAAGGAAACTACATGAAGCTTGTGAAACTGCTGAACAGCTGAAAGAACAACTGCAGAATCAAAGGGGGGAATATGAGAAAGGTACAAAGTCATTTTCAGCTTACTGGCTGACAAGAGAAGAATGTCCAGTTCATATAGAATTTAGTACTTGAGAGACACTGGTTTAGGCTTCTTGCTATGATATTAGCAGTAGCTTATGCCCTTTTAAGATTCGGGTAGACATTTTTTTGAAATTTCCCTTTTATATTGGAGCTTGTCGTGTGTACTAAGCAGGGTGGATTTGATTTAAATCAAACTGATTTAAATCACGATTTAAATCACTAGTCAGTAAGGCTTGATTTAAATCCTAGTTTTCTACATAAAGACTAATTCTTGCTGGTATAACTTTAATATGCAAGTAGATGAATATTTTTAGAATAACAACTTTTCATATTAGTTTTTTTTATCTCCAGTTTAATAGGTTAATCATTCATATTTGGACAACTTTTCTGTTGTACTTAGGAAGGAGAAAAATAATCATTACCTTAATAATAACAATTTAAATCGATTTATTCAACTGAAACAATAACATTCCAGCATATGTTATTTGCTTAAACAAACATATATGTTTGTTAACTAATTTGGCTAAACAAAATATATATATTTTAAGAAACTTAGACTGTCAGCCCCTTCCTCCTCACACTTAGTTTCACTTTCTTCTTGTGCAGATCTATTCCACTCCAAACAATCAGAAAATATTGTTTCTCTTCTATTCACTGAACTTCTTGAAACTTAGCACTGAAGGGGTTGATTCTGTATTCATAGGTTTGTAGAAGTTAGGATTAAGGTCTTTTTCTTAACTCTGTTCATGTTATAACATTTTTGCTGTGAAGAAGAGGCATGTGATCTCTGCTGAGTCAAATTCAGTTTTGAGAACTGCAAAAGTAAACCAATCATCTGTGATAATATCTTGTAGGCAGAGAAACTGCCCAATAATCTTACAAAAACCTCTGGAAGAGCATGACATTGTGAATGGATTCATGGAATTTATTTACCAAAAAAATTAAACATATACAGCCTTATTCTACATAATTAAAAAACTAATCTTTATTTCATGATGGAATAACCTTTGGATGGTAATATATTTTCCTTAAAAAGCATTTTATTTAAAAAAATCCGATTTAAATTAAAAAAATCCGATTTTTTTTTTTTTTTTTTTTTTTTTTTTTTTTTTTTTAAAACATCATTGATTTTTTTTCCACCCTGGTACTAAGGCTGATGTCACGCATTCAGGTCTGTATTCCGAGAAGGTACAGGGAGAACCTAGGCAGAAATATGTTGACTTAAAGAGCAAGTTCAGTTTTGGTGAAGTTCTCCTTTAAAATGTTCCACTCAGTGAAGCCAGGCCCTGGTAGCTAAATACTTTCTTCCCCATTCCTAAGATCTTCATTGTGTGGCTTGCCCAGCACCAAACAGCTTTGCAGTGAAAGCTCACTGCTGTGCCCAAACCTACCATGCATATGGTCTTGCCCCAATAATTCCTATGGCTTGACCCATAATTTTCTGGATGGCTGGGGATCCCTATGAGTATGGACCACAAAATAAGTGAAGAAAAGCTGTGCACATGTGCAGTAGGAGCTGGATACAGTCAGGTATTTTTAATGCAATGGATGTGCTGCAGTGCAGGGTCACACATGATTGCAGGAACAAAGGGAAATGTTTTAGTCCCTGATCTTCACTGAGGGGGTATGGTGACATATGTGGTGGTGTTTTATTTATTTATTTATTTATTTATTTATTTATTTATTTTAGTTAGTGTGAGCTGAGTGGTTAGCATTGTTGTCTTGTGGCTTCAAAGCCACAGTATAGGGTTTGTTCTTACCTTGTTTGCATAGATGTTTACTGGGGACACTGGTTTTCTTCAACAATCCAGACACTAATGTGTAGGTTAATTAGTTACCTGGCAAATTTGGCCATAAAATATGGTGTAAACTAAAAGAGATTGAGACCAATCTCCTGTCATCTGCTAGCATGCCCTGAATTGTCTGGCCATTATTAAAGCCATTCAGTCATTTTAAAATTTCTGGCTAAGGCTGGCCATACATCATACAATTTTCCTTTTTAGATTTGCCAAAACCATATACAGTGCTCAGCATAAATGAGTCCACCCCAACAGATTTGTCAGAAAAATCTTTCCTTTCCTTTCAGAATCAACATTTGCTATGGGGCACTATACTACAAAATACTTCCACAAATGGGCCATTGATTGCAAACAAGATTTGTTAATTTACACACACAAACCAGTATTTTTCCTAACAAATTCATTCAAGACCATGTTGCAAAAATGAATATACCCCAATGAAAGTCTTAGGAGCAAAGCTACATTTTAGACAACAAAATTTTATTAATAAGAATTCAACTACAGATGAGTCTAATTATTCATTAAAGAGGTGTCCAGCCGACAGTTGATTATTTAAGGGCTTTACTTAAATAAAACCCCTTCCCATTTCATGCTGTCAGCAATGGCACCACATGGAAGAGAAATGTCACAAGGCCTGAGAAAGAAAATCATTTCTTTACTCAAGAAAGGTGAAGGCTACAAGAGGATCAGCAAAACTTATCAGTCAGAATACTGTAGCAAAAGTGATACAAAGATGGAACTGCAACCATCTCACAGACGTCTAGACCATCCACGGAACACCTCTACCAGGCGTCTTCTGATGAGAAGGGTTGAAGAAAATCTCCATGCAAGTTCCCTGCAGTTGGCTAAAGAAGTAGAAAGTCAAACTGGGGTGATTGTTTCCCATGCCACAATGTGGTGTACACTGCAGAGGAATGGCATGCATGGGTGTTGTCCATGAAGGAAGCCTCTCCTAAAGCCCATGCACAAAAAAGCCCACCTAGGGCCAGGGCCCATGCTGAAAAAGAAGACAATTGGGACTCTGTACTCTAGAGTGATGAGACCAAGATAAATGTTTTTAGAACTGATGGCTTCATGGCTTCAAAACTGGAATTGCAAAGGTGAGGAGTGCAAAGAAAAATGCATGGTACCTACAGTGAAACATGGTGTGGTGACAGTGTTCTTCTGTGGGGCTGCATGAGGGCTGCTGGTGTCAGGGAGCTGCATTTCATTGGTGGTATCATGAATTCACAGATGTACTGCTCTATATTGAAAGCGAAGATGATACCATCATTCTGTGCTCTTGATCGTTGTGCACTTTTCCAGCATCACAATTATCCAAAGCACATCTAAAGCCACTGTTGCATTTCTGCGCAAGAACAGGGTGAAAGTGATTCAGTGGCCAAGTATGTTTCCTGATCTGAACCCAATCGAACAACTATGGGGTATTCTGAAGAGACGATTGAGTATCACTCTCCATCCAGCACCCAGGCTCTAACAGAGGTTGTTCTTGAATAATGAAAAAAGATAGATGTTGCAATATGTCGCCGACCTGTTCATTCCATGCCTAGAAGACTTGGTGCTGTCCTTACAAATCATGGAGGTCATACAAAATACTGGATGTAGTAGTTTTTGTTGTGGGGTGTATTCACTTTTTGCATCAACTCATTTGAGTAAAACTGAAGATTTTGTAATCTAAGTTATAACTTACTTTCATGTAATGAGCTAAACAAATGTTCTATGAAACTCAGTTTTGTCAAAATTGTGGAAAATGTTCTTGTCTTCATGGAGATATTGATTAAAATCTTACTTTTCAAAAGGGGTTTAGTCTTTTATACTGAGCACTGTAATATGAGACCAAACCTAAACAATTTCAATTTGTATGCAATTAGCCAGGCTAACACTACATAGTTGAAGGTAAATCTAATGGAAATTGAACAAGGAAATTGTATAATGTATGGCCAGTTTAAAGTGTTACTATAGTCAGATTTTTTTTTTCCTTTTAAATTAAAATAACAAACATGTTATATTCACCTGCTCTGTGCAATGGTATTGCAGAGAGCAGCCCTGATGTTCCTTTTCTCGGGTCTCCTGCCGGCGATCTTGGCTCCTCCTTTTTGCGTGTCCCCATAGCAAGCCACTTGGTAGGGGACACATGCAAGCGTGCTTGCTCTTGACCTGTGTGTCTACAAAGCAGCGCTCTGTAGACACACACAACAGGACTTAGCCCCCCCCCCCCCCCCCCCACTTACGCTTCACCACATTTGATTGACAGCAGCAAGTGCCAAAGGCTGCTGTTGGAGTCCCTGTGTGAAGAGGAAGCGAGGGGAGAAGACATGCAGCTGTGCAAAGCTCTGATCTCTTCTCCACTCTCTTCCCCTTCACACAGGGAAACAAAAAACATTTTTACCTTAATGCAAACAATGCATTAAGGTAAAAAATGTTTTTAGGTTTAGTATCACTTTAAACGTAGACATGAGTAAGTGCATGCTACTACCTTAATTTTCCAGTGTAGTATATATAGTGCATCTTACTGATCCACTTTGCTATTAAAGGGGTTAATTTACCTAATTTGGGGATTAAGGCCTACCTAAACTTTACCCACTATACCTAAACTTTACCCACTATACCTAAACTTTACCCACTATCTAATGAGAGTGTAGTTATTAGTCACTGTTTTTATCACAGGGGAATAAAGTTTGTCTGCATGTGTTTGAGGGAATGGAACTTAATACTCCATGGATATTAAGTTCTTAGTATCAAATATTAGATCATAGATGTGCATAGAAAAGGTTTTTCAGGCTAATAAAAGTCTTGTGGAGACAGCTGTTAGCCAGCATTTTAATTCTACAATTTTTAATTGGCTGACAAGTTTGCTTTAAGGAATTGGTCTGATGTAGTGTACATTTAAATGAATTTATATCACTAAACACATTACTAAATATTAATAACCTATACAGTTGCAATGCAAGCTATTATGCTATTACTTTTAATTTAGTCTGCAACCAGTATTCATCTAAAATGTCATGGCTGGCAGAGGGGGCTCTCTTCATATCATGGTATATTGTGACAGCTGTTGGTTACATGCTTTACATGTTCATCAAATTGATTTGCAACATCTTAGCTTTTACAGCTGTAATGTAGAGGAGAGACAATCCAGAAATCAGAAGGGGGTTCAGCTGACAGCTGCGATGGTCTGTTAGAAACAACTGGGAGAGATGCTATAGTATCAGCTCTGTGTATGAATGACAGAGAGACCTTTGATCTATTCTGTGCTCAGTCTCTACTCTGTGTATGGCCTGTATAGGTAAAGAGATGCCTCTGGTAACTTCTCTGCTTTTTGTATAACCTATATAGGAACATCAGAAAGGCCTCTGTCACACTCTCTGCTTAGTGTCAGCTCTGTGTATAGGACCTGCAGAGATGCCTCCCATAAATTCTCTGCTCAGTAACGGCTCTGTGTTTGCCATGTAAAGCAGCAGCACCACAGAGGTCACTGATACATTATCCACTAAATGTCAGCTCTCTGTATAGGAACCTGTATAGGAACAGCAGAGATGCCTCCTTTAAAGGCTGCTCAGTCTCTGTGTATGGCCTGCAAAGGGACAGCAGAGAGGGCTCTGATACATTTTCTGCTCAGTGTCAGCTCTGTGTATGGCCTGTATAAGAATAGCAGAAAGGCCTCCATTACATTATCTGCACACTGTTAGCGCTTTGTAGGGCCTGTACAGAAACATAGGCACCTTCTGTACATTGTACTAGAGCAATGTGAGCTTTGCTTTACAACAACTAACTAGATTTGATATGTTTAACTAGAGTTGCAGCACAAGGTGAGGAAAGTGGAAGAGAATACAACTCAGCAACTGGCTGAGATGGAGAAACATCTGCATGAGACAAGGAGAGAGCACACAAAAGCAGGTACCTTATTGTGTTTTATATATACAATCTACATAAATGTAATTGTTTGGTTTGTGCTTGCTAAGAACCCTCGTACAAAGCAACATGTTTGCTTCAATTACATCCTCACTATCTACACATCCTCACTCTCTGTTCGGCCCCCAGAAATATGGAAAAATACCCAGTACTTCCTTAACCTCCCTAGCGGTATTCCCGAGTGTAGCTCGGGGTAAAATGCCAGTGCCAAAAGCGGTAACCCCGAGCTACACTCGGGCTTACCATGCAGCATTGCATAGGGAGTCCCTGCAGAGCTTACCTTGTCCTTCGCTCCCGCGATGTGTCCCCTGCAGCATCCCCGGCCATCTCCTCCAGCCGATGCCGGCATCCGGCTTCTGTGTTCCGGTCCCTGTGACGTCGGGACGTACGGGCGCCGCCGGCGGCGGGAAATTTGAAAATGTTAAAAAATTTCATTTTTTTCCAAACAAATTTTACATAGCAAAACATTGCTGTTTCAACCCATTTCACATACATTTTGTCCCTAGTGCTTTGTCCTGTGCCCTGCCTGCATTTTGTCTGTTCTTTCTGCCTGGAAACTGAGAAAAGTCCATGGCGTCCAAAAAGTGTCCCGTTAGGTCAAAAGCGGTTTTAGATCAGCTAGAGAACAGCGATAGTAAATCAGAACCACTTGCAGAATTGAATGATAATGATTCGTGGGGGAAATTCGTCATCAGACACTGAAAACGATTTTGCGACTTTGCTCAGCGATGTGCGAACTTGGCGCTATATTTCAAATTTCAGTGTTTTTGGTTTGATTATATTATTGAATTAAATGTATTATTATTATATTATTTTTTATGATTATTTATTAAATTATAATTTATGACTTTGTGTTTCAAATTTTATCATACCCGGGATGTTTAATAGACTCTTGTTCGGACAGATTTCAGTGAGTTATTCCTAAAAATTACAGCCTACAATAAAAAAAACGACACATTTCCATGCAAAATAATGGTACCGCTTTCAGCACCAAAAATCTGAAATAATCAGACCACTAGGGAGGTTAAATGATAAAGCATGACTCGCCTTTCCATGTGACGGTTCCAGGCATTCAGTGCTGTCACAAAGGAGTGGGAAGAAAGTCCTCACAACTTGGATCTTACATGGCCTTCAACTCTTTGTTTTTGGCAATTGAATAGAGCAATCGGGGAGCAAAGGAAGTTAAAGCATAAGCAAGCTGGTGGGGCCACCATTGAAAGGGAACCTCTTAGTATGGGCCAAGCGCAGTTTCACTAAAATGTAGGAGACTGTGATGGTTCAGCATAACTAGTTAACATGTTTAGCATATTTATTTTCCGTTAGAGAGCAGTCTATATAGATAACCTTGTCTAAAGTTTCTGCCATGTTTTTGTTTATTCTGCTGTATAATTGAAAAAATCATTTTCAATAAATATTACCTGATGCAAAAAAAAGGTTTCTGGCAAATTGTGTCTATGAAAGTACTGAGAGCATGATCATAAACAGGGGGGGTGGGACCTCAGAAAGGCGGGGGGGGGGGGGGGTAATTGGAAAATAATAAAAAGAAGGGGATGTGAGGGCAGGGGTAATGGAATTTCCCTATTCATAATAGTGAGAGACATCTCATTCAAAATTAAGGCCATCAGGTTGATGGGGATTGAGAGTAAAAATCCAGAATATCTTGCAACAACATAGACTGGAAAACCTTTATCCTCCTCTAATCAACTTATCCATACATTAGATGAATTGTATTTTCAGGAAATCTACCTCCCACAAGATTTATCATTGTGCATTGAAGGTTTATTTTCAGTGGTATGTAGCTTTGGGGGTTTCCCTGCTTGTGTTTTTTGGTGTGTGGTATTCTTTCCTTCCTTCAGTTGGGGGTGGAACAACATTTAACCCTTAGCACTATCATGGATTAGGAATATGTTTATCTGTTCTCTTTTAACATTCCCAACGCTTTATTTTGTACTTTTATTCAAGAAGTTGCTCATGTTGACCCCTGTTCAATCCCCATTCCAGCTGTGGGATTTAAACTTAGTCTTGACATTACTACAAAAACCAACATTTGAGCCTATTCAGGACGTTCCTGTAACGTTCTCCTGTAAGGTACTGTTCCTTGTGGCTGTCACTATGGCTAGAAGTGTCTCCGAGTTATTGGCTTTAGCCTGTGAGGAACCCTATTTGATCACAAAGACGTTGTTTTGAGACCAAGGACTTCCTTTTTTTACCAAAGGCAGTCTCTGCTTAAATGTGATGAAAATAGATCCCTTCCAACATAGTGATCTCTGTTGATTTGCTCTACCACATAGGCAAAAAGTGTGTGTGTATATGTAAAATTTATAAATGCTTTTTTTTAATAGGTGAGCATATAACCTCTGTTCTCAACTGCATAAGGGGCTTGGAGAGGTGGGGGTGAAGACTGTAGGGGTAGTGTGTCAGCAGGAGGCAGACAGAGAGAGAGCAATACACTGACCTTTCCAGTGAAGAGCTCTGCAGTGTGGTGTGTCACACAAGTCCTGGCCATTAGGTGACAGGCAGACTGTGGGCACCAGCACAGCCAGAAAACTGAGAATTCTGGGAAGGATGTGCTTCTTTGCCAAGCTTGCTCAGTTTGAAATGGGTAAGCAGGGGACTGGCAGGATCACCAGGTGTTTCACACAAAGGAAGAAATAAACAGAGAACCGGATACTTTTTAACACGAGTATATGGTACAACAGACACATATCAGGAATATGAAATGTTGGGGTAACAAACACTTTTTTAAGGCACTTTGACCAGTCAGATAGGGTTTGGCAAAACAAGGTCACAGCCAAGATGGGGTGCAAAGCAGGGATTGCCAGCAAGAACAGTACTCTAAAGAGGGATTGTGGTTATCATTTGAGTCTTTAAATATAGAGGTGCATCCTCCACCCGATGGATCTACAGTGAGGACAGTCCACTTTATTATTATTATTATACAGTATTTATAAAGCGCCAATAGTTCGCTCAGCGCTGTACATTACAAAGGGGGACAGAACATGTGACAGAACAATAACAATACAATGCAAAACATGAGGGGATCGAGGGCCCTGCTCTTTCGAGCTTACAATCTAGGAGGGAGGGGATGGTGGCACAGGAGGAGAAAGCTGTGGGGGATGGGGTGGTAGGAAGAATGGAGGAGGTTGGCAAGTTAGCAGGGGGTGGGTTTTCAGGGTGCGCCTAAAGGAGAGGAGAGTAGGTGATAATCTGATGGGTTGGGGCAGGGAGTTCCAGAGGATGGGTGACACCCTGGAGAAGTCCTGGAGGTGGGCATGGGAGGAGGAGACCAGGGAACTAGAGAGAAGGAGGTCTTATTACAAAGTCCTCTTTAAATGGGTACAAGACTAACATGTGGGTGTTTGCAATCTCTATAGAGGAAGATTAGAAAAGTGGGAGCACTGAGAAAGTCTTTGAGGTTTTAGGGGCTTTAAAGGACCCAGATCTGGGAATAGCACTGGTAGAAGCAACAGGCTGATCCTATAGTTTTAGAGCAGTAAACACCACATCAAAAGGAGCCAAAACAAAATGTGGAAGTAATTACAGAAGCCTGCAACACCTCGAATGCAAGCTTGGAAGACTGAGACTGAAACAACTCAGAATCAGACGATCTCAATGACTAATGGTTCAGAGACCACCAAGTTCACGCAGGTGGATCAGATACAGAATCATGACTTTCATAGCAGCAGGGTAGAGAGGAGTTTTGGTTGATGAAAAAAGTCAATGAAGAAAATGCTAGCAAAAATAGATTTTTTTTTTCTTTTTTCATAAGACATTTAACCACCTAGAACACTAGCATAAATGTGAGGCATGCTGGTAATAGGAGGGATTATACTTGGCTGGCCTACGGTTATTTGTTTGCCAGTGTCCAATCATCCTGCAGTGCCCCTTAAGAGATGAGAAGGAATTCGGTTTCTTTACATAGTTAGTCTGGCTGAAAAAAGACAAAAGTCCATCCAGTTCAACCATTAAAAAAAAAAAAAAAGTTATAATCCTATACCCACAGCTGAACCAGAGGAAGGCAAAAAAAAACGCAGCAAAGCATGATGCAATTTGCTCCCGCTGGGAAAAAAATTCCTTCCTGATCCCCCGAGAGGCAATCGGATATTCCCTGGGTTAACTTTACCTATAAATGTTAGTATCCAGTTATATTCTGTGTATCTAAGAAAGAATCAAGGACTTTTTAAAAGCAATCCACTGAGCTGGCCAGAACCAACTCTTGAGGAAGTCTATTTTACATGTTCACAGCTCTTACTGTGAAGAAACCTTTCCGTGTTTGGAGATTAAATTTCTTTTCCTCCAGACGTAAAGAGTGCCCCCCTTGTCCTCTGTGATGACCTCAGGGTGAATATCTCTACACCGAGTTCACTATATGAACCACTGATGTATTTATACATGTTGATCATATCCCCCCTTAATCTCCTCTTCTCAAGAGAGAATAAATTCAGTTCCTCTAATCTTTCCTCATAGCTGAGCTCCTCCATGCCTCTTATCAGTTTAGTTGCCCTTCTCTGCACTTTCTCCAGTTCCCCAATGTTCTTTTTGTGAATTGGTGCTCAAAATTGAACTGCATATTCCAGATGAGGTCTTACTAATGATTTGTACCGGGGTAATATGATATCTCTCTCTCTGGAGTCTATACCTCTTTTAATACAAGAGAGGATTTTGCTCGCTTTAGAAGCCACAGCTTGGCATTGCATGCCATTATTAAGCTTGTGATCTACCAGAACTCCCAGATCCTTCTCCACCATTGATTCCCCCAGTTGTACCCCCCCTAGTATGTATGATGCATGCATATTCTTAGCCCCCAAGTGCAGAACCTTACATTTATCAACATTAAATCTCATTTGTCACATAGTTGCCCAATTAAACAGTCTTTAAATGCTGATATGGTTTTATGGTCATTTTGCATATGAATAGTTCATACTGGAATTTGGTAAAGGATGTACAGTGCACAATCTACCATCTCTGCAGGCTAATTATGCTTTTTGCCCAGATACATCAAAAGCTATTGTTTTGTATACTGATTCCTATATTGTTTTCTCCTAGTTGTGGCTCTTCGTCAAGGAGAGCGCCAAATGCAGCGAGAGAGGAATCGGAGTCAAGAAATTATGCGTACACTAGAAGATGCCACACGAGTGCGCGAGGAGCAGCTGACCCGGCAGCTACGGGAAGCAGAAAGGGACAAAAACCTAATGAGTGTAAGTTTGCTAGTTCTGGAAGAACCTTGTTTTTATTCATCTGAACCCCATGCCTGTAAAACCTAAATGCATTTTATTCTTTAGGCTTGATGCTTCGTAGCCATCTTGTCCTTAAATGTATAATATAAATGCCGCACTGCCACTTGTGATTCTATAAATACTCTGCTGGCTGTGCCACACTTCAATCGTGACTGTGTCCCACAAATGAATGGACAAAATAAATAGATAAATCGATACGTGCCTAATACCTTATATAAACTATACTGTGCCTTATATACACCCCTCCTCCCCAGGGACTCAATTCATTCCTATGGATAGGGGGATGTGTGCAGGTCTGTAAAAACGTGCATATATGAAATACAATATACAGTGCTAAATTATGTGCAAAATATAAACAACCATGGACATCAATCCTCCCAATATGAGCCAATCTCAATGAAAGAATAATTACCATTAAATATTCAAATATTGCATACAAGTGCACTGCATATATTTTTTAAGTCCCAGTGTAAAACACGTTCCACATTAACATTCAGTGTGATTCAGTGACCAATCTTCTTCTCCATAAAGTTCTTGTGTTAAGCGCTTCCCCTCACCACAAGGTGTTGCTCACCTGTATAGGTAGGTCAAACTGTGTGTTTGGTGCTTCAGCGAGCCCCTAAACCGATCAGCTTCCTGTATACTCCTGAAGCCTCAATCCACTTTTGGACTTCATAAATGAAAAGCTCTCCAGACCATCCACAATACTCCTCCACCACTGTAGAACACAATCAGAAGAAAGCTTCCATTGCGTAATACTGTTTTTATTGGATATAAAACACTTAAAATTGCACTTACATGTAAGCATATGTATGGTGCTTTAAAAAATCCTAAGACACTGCAACTCCTCTGTATTCCCTCATAGGAACAGATGTGGTGCTATCAAACCCCGACATACGCGTTTTGTAGCATGACATCAGGAGAAATTTTTTTTAAAGCGCCATACATATGCTTACATTTAAATGCAATTTTAGGTGTTTTATATCCAATAAAAACAGTATTACACTATGGAAGCTTTCTTCTGATTGTTTTTTTACGGTGTTGGAGGAGTATTGTGGATGTTCTGGAGAGCTTTTTATTTATGGAGTCCAAAATCAGTGGATAGAAACTTCAGGAGTATACAGGAAGCTGATCGGTTTAGGGGCTTGCTGAAGCACAAAACACGCAGTTTGACCTACCTATGCAGGTGGTCAACACTGTGGTGAGTGGGGCTCTGGAGGGGGAGCACTGAGGGAAGCACTTAACACAAGAACTTTATGGATAAGAAAGATTGGTCACTGAATCACATTGTATTACATTGAATGTTAATGTGGAAAGTGTTTTACATTGGGACTCCAAACATTGCATACAAGTGCACTGCATATTTTTTTTAATATTTAATCTTATTTATTCTTTCATTGAGATTGGCTCATATTGGGGGATTGATGTCCATGGTTGTTTAAATTTTGCACATAATTTAGCACTGTATATTGTATTTCATATATGCACGTTTATACAGACATGCACACATCCCCCTATCCATAGGGATGAATTGAGTCCCTGGGGAGGAGGGGTGTATATAAGGCACAGTATGGTTTATATATGGTATTAGGCACGTATCGATTTATCTTTTTACTTTGTCAAAGCATTTGTAGTACACAATCACGATTGAAGTGTGGCACAGCCAGCAGTAGTATTTATAAAATCAGTGGCAGCGCAGCATTTATATTACACATTTATACTTACATATTTGTGGTACTGCTAGCAGCAGCCAGCTGAACTATTCCATCTATTCCCAGTGCACTGCGCAGGTCCTATCTGTATACATCTTGTCCTTAAACCCATTAATTATTTTAGCTTTGAATGTGGTTTGGCTTTTCTTCCAGGCCACACTGCGGCAGGAGGGATTATTGGCCACGTACAAGGAAAACCGGACAGTTGCAATCCAGTCTTTGGATACCCACACTGAAAAGGCACAGGGGCCAGCAGGTGCTCCAGGCGTTATTGGAGCGACAGGCACTAAAGGTGAATTCACCATGCTTTCCTACGCTGCTGGGCACATGAACTTCCTAATAAAGGCTTTCTACAACTCTAGGCCCTAAAGGTCTGGCCAGAGAATGTTCTTGCCAGGAATAGCCAGCACTGTTGATAAATATAATGGAACCTTAGCATAAATATTATTAAAAAGCAACAACGTACCAAGGGACAATTATTGCATCTCTGCACTTTGAGATATGGCTCCTGTAAAACGTTGGTGCATGTAATGACCTTAACACGTAGGCCTCATTTCACACAGGCCGGTTCCAGTTTTGCTCAGCAGGGGATTTGTTTTCTGATCGTTGCTGAGCTGAGCGGTGCTGCTGGATGATAGGTCCATGTCCGCTCTGCTTTATGGGCAGTCGGTTGTAAACGGACCGGCTCTTTGTTTACACCCGACTGCCCTCTGATCGTATCCAGCTAGACAGAGGGGAACAGATCCCCTTCTATTCGTTGTTTATGGATCAGAGGTAGTCAGATGTTAACGGACAAAAGTTCCTTTTACATTCGACTGCCCATAGAGGAATATAGAGGGTCTGATCTAGTCCTCCTGAAATCAGACCTGATCCGATGGCCTGTGTGAAAGCGACCGTAACCCCTATCTAAAACTTTACCTCCCCTAAAAAATAAAAACGCCCAACTATAAACCTTGCTTACTGCCTAAACTCTGAGTGTATATTAGCACAAAAATAGAATGTCACAGCTTTCTAGTCCTTATATGTGGTGGGCTGCATTCGTTTTCTTCTTATATTTTTTTCCCTTTATTTTCACCTGGTGATCCTGCAGGTAACTTGCTTCCTCTCCTAGGGTGACAGCGTGGACTCATTGTATAGGATCTATTGGAAGAACAGTGATGTCACCTTGGCTGCTCTTCTGATTTGGACTACAAATACCTCCACTGCCCCTCACCTACATTACATGGAGGGGAGGGGGAGGGGTTGTGTAGTTCACAGGAGATAGCTGGGAAAGCTGAAAAAAGCCTAATGATGTTATTTGCTTTCAAAATCATACTGCATATGTCTTTTTATTTTTTTTTTCTTATTTATCAGAATGTATCTCTAATATGCTGGCCAACCTGCAGAGCCTTGGAGCTGCTTTACTGAAAGAAGATGTTGATAATGAAGATGAGGCTGAAGAACTGATGTAGCCACCAGGGGGCAGCATATGTAATGTTATGACATTGTCATTTTTGCACAAGATGGTTGTTTCAGATGCAGGATGATCCAAAAGGAGCTTACTACCTCAGTATATTGGCTTTATTTAAAATTAAATCTATACCGGGAGTAATCTAAGCTAGCATTGCTGACTTTTCTGAGAACGCTAGTCACCTAGCTGTCATACAGCTCCAGTGACTTTGTTTCTGACACAGGACAAGTAAGCAGATCAGGAGTTCTGTCTTTGCATTGGGCATGCTTGTTCCAGGTCAGTGACTCACAAGTACTGAAGCTAGACAGGGCCAGGAAACTACTATTTTCATGGGAAGGTTGATAAAGGCAGCCTACATATAGGTCTCAGCACATTTATTTTAAGTGCAACATTTTTCTATTTGTCTGGAATGTCTCTTATTAAAGCAAGTATCAATATACATGATACAGTAATCAAACACAACCAATCAGAATCCATTTATCAGTTGGACAGCGCTGTGCTACAACACCAGCAATGTAATCAGTGTGATGTGCTACTGCACTCCTGTGGTCAAAATGTAAAATCATGTATTATTTCCACATTGTTTTCAATTATTTATAGTCTATTAATGTGAACAATCTTGAAGTTTGTGACGATCCCTACAATTTACTTCCTGGAATTCTATGACACTTAGTCACTATGCCCCCTGAGTAGCCACTGCCGTGTCACACATTTCACAGAGAATGCCTTCTGAACTACAGAGGTGCCGAGAGGAGGGGATGAAGGAGGCAAAGTACAACAATCACAGTTTGCAAGCAGCGAGGTACCATGGGTTAGGAAATTAAAAAGTAAACCGAGGAGAAGCTGTAAAGCGTGTAGGGAATCCAGTAAGTTGTGCAAAGAGATGGTCAGGAGGCAGCGCTCACAACATGCTAGGAGATGGTGAAAAATTACAGTGCTGATGTTATAAAATGAAAGTGTATGCTGTAATCATAGAACCTCAATGAAAAATTGTGTTGAGGAATGTGATGACTTTCTAGAAACAGACATTTACATAACTGAGCTCATGAGACCAGCACAGGTTTACATGAAATAATCTAGAATGCCAACCCCCCGATTATCATTCTCTGATGCCTGCAGTGAATACCATGTATGCTATAGTATAAACCAACCAAAGATGGAAGTGGAGTAGTTTACTGATGTAGAAAAATGACCAGCAAAGTATACCTAAAGGCATTTTTTTTTTTGGATAGAATGGAGAGGGATTAGAACACCTGTCAGATATTTTATTTCTGCCTGTGTCCTCATTCGGGAGATTCACCCTCTTTTTTTATTCATATTATTACCAAAAGTGTAAGTGAAGAAAAATCCTTAATTTTGTGCTGGTCCTAGAACAGGAAGGCCTGTTTCATGCAAGTTTCAGCATGTGTAAAAGCAGTGTGAACAGCAAGCTTTTACAAAGCATTTGCAGAGCTTTCACAAAGTTTTTTCAATCAATCACCCTGGAGCTCCAGTTTGTAAATGTTGAACACAGATCCTAATGAGAGTGCTGATGGTCACTTTAAATAAGCAGCTAGCAGGCTTTAGCACTATTTGAAGCTTGTTTTAAGTGACAATCAGCACTGCCATTAAGATTTGTATAAATAATTTTCAAACAGGAGTTGAAGGGTGCTTTAAAGGAGAAGTACAGCCAAAAGCTCAGTTTGTTCTGTACTCCTGCAACCTGTTTTCAGTTGACAGCTGGCTGAAGTTACTCAGCCAGTCCAGTCTGGAGCAGCACCTGGCTCAGGCTCTCAGTGAGTTGCTAAGAGCCTAAACCAGCTGCTCCCCCCCCTCCAAAGCCCTGCAGTGAGTGCGAGGGGGTAATGGGGCGCAGAGCAGGCAGTGGTGATCGCCAGGTTCTCACACTTAGAGCTGGCGGGGGACAGATGCAGCATCAGATCGATGCCGCATTCACCTAGGCAAGTATAATTTGAGGGGAAAAAAAAACAAAGCCATACTTCTCTTTTAAAGTCTTAGAGAAAGCTGCTTGAAGCTTGCCTGCTGTTCACATTGCTCTTCATACAAGCTGAAGCCTTAAAGGATAAGTTCACCTTTTGACAAATAGTAATAAATGCATTTATTATTTTTTTGTTGCAGGAGCCTGTAAAGCATTGCACCATTGATTAGCAGATTGTTGGTGCCATGCAGGTCTCCTACAGAACGGTCAGTATATCTGCTTGTCCGTATGGGATATACTGACAGGAAGAATCAATGAACTTCCACAGAGCCATGGTAGTTTTTTGAGAACTACAAGCCGACAGCCGCTAAAGTTGTGGGGACTTGTAGTTTTGTCATTCACAGAGGGCTGTGAATGAGTAATGCGGCCAGCAGGCAGAGCCCCACACTTCCATGTTTTTTTTATTTATTTAATTAATTTTGATGGCTAGCGGGAGGAGAAGATTCCCCGCCAGCTGTCAAAGTAGGGGCTGGTCCATCTATTACATGTTACACCCTGAATACGGATGTAACATTATGAAAGGTGAACTTTTCCTTTAAATAGGGTAATCTTCCAATGGGAACACTAGTTCTGGTAGCAACCATGGATTCCCTCCCTTTGGAGCTATTTACTTTTACTTCCTGCTTTGACTATGGGACAGAAAATTTAAGGAAATCTCCCCAGTGGGACACAGCCAGTAACACTCCCTTACTCTATCCAAGAGTTTAAATGTAAAAAAAAAATAATCACCAAAATTGGTGCCTTCTCTAAACTCTTGCTCTGGTGATTCCTGATAGCATGCTGTAGAGAAATACAATTTCCTTTGGTGTGCAAGCAGTGGTTTGGTGACAGAGATCTCACAATTGCCTGCTAGGTCAGAGCTGGAGATCGTTAATCACCAGGGAGCATGAGCTTTGCTGATTGGAGTGCACTTGTTCTGAGTCAGTAGGGGTATGCCAGATGTCTACAGAGAGATCACTTCTACACAAAGGACAAGTGTCCTCTTTTCAGCATACTGGCAGGCAATGTACTTTGTTACTTGGGATATAGCTGCTTTCAGAAGAAAGCAAACTAAGGCTTAGAACACATTTTATTTTGATGCACCAGGAATGTAAAGAGGAACTCCAGAAATATATACTTCAAAATGTAACAGAAAATGTACAGCGCTTATCCCCATGTGACCGTAAAATAAATCTGCATAGAGTGAGTATATTAATCTGGTAAGATGATAGATTCAGCCTATATTGTAAGGTGCCATGAATAAATACAGTCCAAAATATAAAGTGCGCTTAATACACAATTCACCCACCATGTGAATTCCCCCCACAAAAAAAAAAAAAACCTCTCGCATGTGATCCAAGTGTTCTGCTTGAAACATCATGCAGCTCCCAGCCAGTGCTTCATCCTTCTCCCCACTCTGGTTAAACTCACCAGATGGTAGTGACCACTCTTCATAAAGCACATCTATTGCACTTATTTATATTCTTGAATCTTTGCTGCCTAATGTCTTGCATGGTGGAAAAACAGAAAAGAGAGCCAAAAACAGCAAAAAGCTTAAAAAAATGAAATCACATGCAAATTGACAGTCACCCACAAAAATGTACTTTCCCAACTGAGGAAACGCTTGCTTACGCCCTGGTTCACACTGTGAGGGCCATGTTTGAGCAGGCACGTCATCCCGTTCATTTGAATAGGCTGCTGTGCCTGCATTTTCTGCATAAAATACATGCACCTTTTTAAAAATGCGGCTGGGGCTCCCGCACCCACAAACGGGCTGTGGGCTGAGATGCGGGGGGGGTGCCAGTCAGAATGAATGGCAGCCCTGCGTGTCTTGTAAGAGCAGCACAATTTGGCTGTGGGCGGGGTGCAGAAGCAGATGCGAGTCCATCACCTGCAACCAGCCCACATAGTGTAAACCAGGGCTAATTGTGTAAGAGGTGCCGCATCTCCAACCTCTGTGACTACGGCCGCTGTCTGAGTGTAATGACACCACAGTGAAAAGCCCTGCCCTTGTGTGTGGTATCATCAATCCTGAAGTCTTCAAGAGCAGGTTCATGAAGATGTCAGGGTTGACAAACCGCATATCCAAGATTGGTCATTATGGACTATATTAATATTATTTACAATATGGACTGAATTTCTATACATACACACTATCTGTTGATTTATTTTGCTGACACATATGAGTAAGCACAGTACATATTACATTAATGTGATTTTTTCACAGAGTGGCTGCAAAAGACTCCAAAACTTCTCTGCAGGAGGCCCAAAGATCCAGTGGTGGAGCACTGGGACATATAGCATTAGCTATACACCCAGCGTGCTGTCAAAGTGTAAAATGTAAATATAAGAGATGAGTCCAGGAGGTGGTAAATACCTCCATGGCCTTAACCCCTGTAAGCCAGCTCATTTCTAAAATGTACACATTCCTGTTCATTCAGGATTTAACACTGTTTGCAGTCCTAGAACGAAGGTTAACTGTTTGTAAATAAGGTGTATGTAAATATTTATTTTTATCCAAGATTTGTAATGCACAGAAACTTTATAGATTAAATTACAAATAAAGACCATTTTTTTTTCTAAAAATGTGCAATTTTTTTTCTATATTCATGACTGTATGAGCAGGGGCCAGTTAAGCCCGTTCAGCATAACTGCTAGTGCATTTCTTCCACGCAGGTGCAGCTTACAATATGTCCTTGTCATGAATGGCAGCGTGTAACATGTAAACACAAGTACAGTGTACAGACATATTAAAAAATAAATAATAAAAGGAATTTTGACTTGCCTAGATTTGGAGTACAGAACACAGGCAAAGTGTCCTGAACGGGTGTACAGACCCAAATGCACAGTCTGCAATTGGGGCCATACACCCACACAGAATAAGAGCATCTGTGACCATGCAGCCACTGCATACCAATTGAGATTAATGGGACAGCCCACATGGGGATATACAGAACGTCTGTACAATTCCTTATACGTGTACACAGCCCTCCATGGACATACCCTCTGTGTGAACAAGACCTTCAGATAATGAGGAATTTTGA